CAAATGTTTCCTAGAGCCTCCAGACAGACTCTGTCCCTCTGGTGACACTGGCTCCAATAAACACCTCTGTCGACAGGAGCTGGCACAGCCAGTATCGGTGCTCCCGTCTTCTGTGATGGGCTGCGTGCATCAGAGAGGCTCACTGTTAAAATAAGTTGAGGGCCTTCCTGATTGTCAGCTGTTTAGCAATAAATGGGGCAATGCAGGGAAGAGGGCTGCCGTGGTACCGTCTACGATTGAGATGTGACAGGAAACCATAAACTAATCAATTCACTGAAGACGGGCAGCAGTAAATGTGCTGTGAGGACGGCAGCTATAGTACAGTTAATAACTAGCCAGGAATTCTCCACTAAAAGCCTCATTCAAGAGGTACAGATGAACTTCGAATACAGTGGCTATCACAGTCACTCCAGGAGTGTCAAGCAGCGGTTACTTTGGGTGATGAGACATCTTTACCTAATGTGGGTAATAAAACTACACCCAAAGAAATAGACAGCAGTGAAGTATTACTGCTACAAAGTTGTGTGGCAGTCTTCCCCAATTTAGAAGTATATTTGTCTTAGTCTTCTGAGTTGTGGGGCAAGAGAACAACATGAAATTGTGTTAAATTTTAAAAAGAGGGCTACTAAAATGCATGGACTCAAAGACATTCGTGACTTTTTTCTAATTTTAGTGAGTGTCCACTTCAAGTAGGAAGAAGATGAATAGGAAAAGGAGAGTTGTCCTTCTCAAAGGAAATAAAGTTTGGTGTTATAGATTATAAAGAAAATTTATCCATTCTTTGTGGAAAAGAAAAACATCCATTCTTTGTGCTCAGTATAAAATAGTAAATACAATTAAGGAGACTTTAATAAATCGAGCAATTCTAAAATCTATGTGAGCACCAACATATTCACATAAATTTATACAGTCATGTGTTGCCTGACATGGTATAACATGTAACAGTGATCCCGTGAGATTATTTTGTAGCCATCTTAGCATACTTGATGATGTTCACATGATGAAATCAGCTAATGACATATTTAACAGAACATCCCACTGGTAAGGAACACATGACTGTACTAACATTTACAAATGCATTAACGAAATTTAGATATAACTGAAAATCTAAACACATAAACCAGATTATTTTCCCAATGCACACGTGATCCCTGTATTTCAGCACTTTCATGTTTAATGCCCTACACATTATAATTAGGTTTCTATATTGTACTGACGAGGTATAAAAATGATTTTTAACTGACTTGTTCTTATTCATAATCTTTACCAAAAAATGTATATGAAAACACCAAAGGCATGTAAAATACAATTCTAGTCATTCCTATAAATCAACTTTGATCAAAAAATGCTTTAGTATTTTGGCAGCCAGTTCATATGCTGAGAGGCTGTGCCTGTGGAAAGCCTCCTACCAGCTTTAATTATGTGGTGGAAGAAAACCACCACAGGACCATCTGAACTTTCTCACAGTCTTTATGCATCTTAAACCTGAGAGTGGATAAAAGTGTTCATCAGAGGCCAAGCTATTCCTGCTGATTTATCTCTAATCTCATTCCAAACATTCTCCCTATAACACAATTTGTGTTGTTCCTAGTTTTCATCATATATTATATTGTGGTTATGTAATAATTTCAATGGAAATCAGGAGGTCATGTCAGAAAAAATTTCAGTTTAACATATGATTTGGCCAGCTTTTAAATAGCTATATTTACTTTTATTTTTAATGTATTCTGAAAGACTCAGACTCTTCTGCCACTCAAGTGTAATTAACGACCCAGAGAAACCAAAAAGGCATGATTTACGTAGGCACAAATGGCACAAGCATTTCCTCATACAAAATTGTGAGGAAAATGAACTTTCTATGACACTTTTAAGTTTAATATTTAGATTATTAGTTATAATTAAGTGCTCAAGAAGTTGGCTAAAAGTAAATACCTATATGTATACCACCAGTAGAGAGAGCTGAAATCTACAGGGTATTTTTTTTCTTAAAATTTAATTGTGTATGTCTTAAACTCTAAATAGTTAAGGTAATTTATCACAAGCTGACCTTTATAGCTTGACCTGGAATCTAAATACAATGATTCCTTTTCTAGCCTATTACATAAGTCTGTTACTTTTATACTTTAACAAGAGAACCTTTAAATTTCCAAACTCTCATCAATCCTCTGACCTGCACTACAGATACGTTCCTTTTCTTAAGTCATTTGTAAGTGAACTATAGACCAGCTAATTATATTCTAGATAAATGGTAAGCAAACACTTATTTGGAAAAAAAAGTGTGAATAGCAATATTACGTGGCCCCTAGAATCACACCAAACTTCAATAGGCTAAGTGGTGTGTACTCTGAAGCAGAGTATCATTGAGCCTAAGAAGCATCCGTCTGTTTGCTTTCTCCAACATTAACCTCTCAACTCTCATTCACAAACATGCTCCATTTTTTTTTATTGCCTACACTCTTGCCTACCTTAATTTTCTTTGTACTTGTTTGCTTCAAAGATTTAAAATGTTTTTTCTCTAATCTAAAATCTGTTCTCATTAATAGTTTGTATTTTCATGAAATCCTATCAAGTCTACAAATAGTTAAGAGACTAGAATGTGTAAAATAAACTAAGGAGCTTACAACTCATGGGAAAAGAAATTAGGCAAATGGAAAATAATGAAATGTTTAAACAGGAACTCAAAACAAGGTTTCCTCTTGTTTTGCAAGAAGAAAGTTTGCAATCATAAACAAGTCTACCCTAAACACAGAAAAAGGACAACAAATAAAGCTTATTTGCAACTCACCACAGGCAAGAAAACTAATATTTCTATTCAGAACTTGTATAATCCAGCAGGATAAAAATCATCACCCCAGTAGAAAAATGTCCAACCTTATCTATAATAAGATTACCCTTTTCATTCTACTATAAATCGGACAAAGGCCCAAGGATTTCATTGCACTATGTTGGTGACAGTGTGATAGAACAACCATATATTGCTGATTGCAGTATATACTGCTTCAGCTCCTATGACTGGAATTCGAATGATTTCTCTCATATACTCTCAGATCTATCTCTAATTCTTACTGACAAATTCAGTCTTATGTGAAATATTTCACAGACAAAAAGCACCACAACATTACTAGTAACTGCTAATGACCGGAAACAAATAAGTGACAAAATTAGCATTTAAAAATCTAAGCTTTCCTACACACCAATTAACACTCTTGTTGAGAAAGAAATCAGGAAAATAATTCCACTCACAAAAGCTTCATAAATAACCTAGGAACCAACCTAACCAAGGGGTAAAAGAACTCTACAATGAAAATAAGAGAACACTGAAGACACTAGAAGATAGAAAGACCTTGCACGTTTATAGATCATCAAAATTAATATTAAAATAGTCATATTACTGAAAGCAATCTACAGATTCAATGCAATCCTCATCAAAATTCCAATGATATTCTTCACAGAAACAGAAAAAACAATGCTAAAATTCATATGCAAACACCAAAGACTCAAAATGGCCAAAGCAATCCTTAGTAAAAAGAGTACAGCTAGAGGCGCACAGTACCCAATTTTGTATTACACAACAAAGCCACAGTAATAAAAACAGCAATTAAACACATAGACCAATGGAATAAACAGAACATATAAACCCATACAACTACAGCCATCTGATTCTTGACAAAGGAGTCAAAAACACATGTTAGATAAAAGCCTCTTTAACAAATGCTGCTGGGAAAACTGGATATTCACATGTAGAAGACTGGAACTAGTCTTCTAGTTCCATCTCTCATCTTGTACAAAAATCAAAACAGATCAAACACCTGTGGATAAGAGATGAACCTGTGAAACTGCTAGAAGAAAACATAGGGCAAAGAGTTGACATCATAGGCACAGGCAAAGACTTTCCAAACAGGACTCCAATAGCACAGGAAATAATAACAAGAATCAATAAATATGACTACATCAAATTAGAACGTTTCTGGACCAGAAGGAAAACAATGAACAATGCAGAGGCAGCCTAGAGTGGGAGAAAAAACTTTGTCAGCTACTCCAATAAAAGATTAATATCTAGAATGTACAAAGAATTCAAAAAACTTAACACCAGAAAATCAAATAGCCCAATCAATAAATGGACAAATGGATTCAATACTTCTCAAAAGAAGCAGTACAAATGACCAATAAGTATACAAAAAAATATTCAAGACCTTCAGCCATTAGAGAAACCTACATCAAAATACACTGAGATTCCATCTCATCCCAGACAGAATGGCTATCATCAAGAATAGAAAAACAAAACAAAAACCAATAAATGATGATAGAAAAAGGAACCCTTTAACACTTCTGGTGGGAAGGTAGATTAGAACAACCACTATGGAAATCAGTATGGAAGTTCCTCAAAAAGCCAAAAGTAGAACACACACCTTGATACACTGAATTAAAGTCAGCAGTAGAAGACTATAACTAGATTCCCACAGATTCCTATGAACCTACACAATAAACACTGTGGTACAAATTCAAAATACCAAGACATGGAACTGGCCTTAGTGTTCATCAATGAATGAATAAATAAAATGTGATGCACACACACAAACACACACACAATGGAGTATTATATTATTAGGACTTAAGAATAAAATCATGTCATTTGCAGGAAAATGGATAGAACTGGGACTCACCATGTTAAGCAAAATAGGCCAGACTCAGACAAATATCATGTTTTCCCTAATATGTGGAATCTTCAAAACAAAACAAATAGTTCCAGTCTTCTACATGTGAATACCCAGTGTTCCCAGCAGTATTTGTTCAAGAGGCTTTTATCTATCCGTTTTTAAATGAATTTCACTTTTTTTTTTTGGTATCAGGGATCAAACTCGGGATCTTGTGCCTTCAAGGAAGGCGGTAGAACCACTGAGCTAAATCCCTGGCCCGAATTTCACTCCTTATTAATTGATGCTCATTACATTTCGTCTTGCTTTCTTATCAATTACTATTCTTTGCATACCTCATTCAAGGTTTCCGGGTTTTTTCACATCCCCTGTGGTGGTCAACCTTGATTGTCAATTTGACTGGATGGAGAGATGCCTGGGAACTAAGTAAGCACACTCCGGGTGTGACTATCAGGGTGTTTCCAGAGATGACTGGGATGAGGCCCTGCAAACTCAGGGGAAGACCAGCCCTGAATGTGGACAGCTCCACCCAATAGGCGAGGAGCCAAAAGTGGAAGGAGGAAGCCAGCCAGCAAGTGCAAACTTGATTCTCCTCAAGTATGTGCCCGGCTGCTGCAACTGCCTGTGGACATCAGACTCCCGCTTCCTCCGTTTTCTGACACGGACTCTCACCAGAGACTCTACCGAGTTTCAGACCTTCAGCTCAGACTGGGGCTGCATCACTGGTCCTCCTCGTTCTGAGGCTCCCAGCTTCTCGGTCTGAACAGCTTCCGGTTCCTCTAGCCATGCAGTGCGCAGATGGCCACTGTGGGACTATCCAGCCTCTGATTCTGTAAGCCTATCTAGTAAATCCCCTTTCATAATTATACACATATTCTATTGATTTGGGTCCTCTAGAGAACCCTAATAAATCCCCAAATGTTTGCCTGATGATATTTAATTCACTTTAGAGTCTTATAGCAATTTATTATTTCCAGTTCTGTCCTCTGTTATGAGGTTTTCTTCATGCATAGAAAAGTCTTTATTAATTTTTGTGGGTTTACTTTTTGGAGGAGGAGTGAAGAAGTTGTTTCTTGGTTTCCTTTACATTTTTTTGCAGTATTCTTAATTTTTAAAATTACCTTCTTTTCCTTTACTGCCCCACTGCTAAGGGGAACGACTCCTTCTTTATGCATTTGATTCTCCCTCCAGAGCAATTCTCGCAGCCTTCCACTTTGGGCCCAGTCTTCTGAATCTTTTCCCCCATCTTGTGCTGTGAACTACTTTGTCTTGGCCTGTTTTCAATATTTTTGCATTTGGAATCAGGCTTTTTCTTTCTGGGGATGAATGTTTGTTTCTTCTGAGTTGCTCATGCTTCTCTACTCTAGTTTTTACTCCCCACCCTTAGTACCCACAGGCTTGCAAAGATGAGAGGGCAGAGTGAACTGTGGGGATTTCCATACTTCAGGCAACTGAGAAGTGATGGCCCTGTTCTTACCTCTAGCATGCTGAAGAGAAAGGTATATGTGGTTTATTTCTTCTGCTTGTTGATTTGATAATTATTTTTGAAAGAGTGAAGAAAATCAGGCAGCTGCTATTGTCCTCCAAAAACCTTATATAAGAAGGCTTTTAATTATGGATTAAATCTCTTTATTAGGCACACAACTGTGAGTTTTTCATTTTCTTTTCCATTTCTTGTCACTGTTGTCAGTGTCTCTCAGTTATGTTTTTTCTATATGATTTGATTTCATAAATACTTTCAAACTCACTGGCATAATGTTATTCTTAATACCCTGTTACTAGATTTCATACAGATTTAGAAATTATAAATTAGACATTATCATTGTCCCTACTGGCAATACATGGCTTTGCTTTTATTTCTTGATCAGTCCTTTTTAGAAATGTGCCAGCTTTTAAAATTCTGAGATTTTTGACATAACTCTCATGAAAAGGTGAAGTCTGCACTGCCTCTTCTAAAAGCTTTGAGGACAGTCACTACATTCTCCAATAACATATGGGAGACATGACACTATTTATTCTTTGGATAGATTATAAAATGCTTTCTGGGTCTCTGGGAATTGTTGCCAATTTTAAAAACTTTATGCCAATTTTTTTAAATTGCCATAAAGAAATCTGGTTACTCTGAGACCATTATATTGGAAAAGTGGCAAAGATAAAATTAAAAGCAAGAAGAAAATCCATGAACAAACCTAGTAAATCAACCACAAACCCCCATACTAATTTACACTGAGGATAATAATGTCTAAGTCAGAAATCATTTTAGTACACTGAGAAACACATAGTTCAGAGGGCAAGAGTTCAAATAAGAAATGTTACTTAGGGAAATCACAGAAGTATCCTGTAATAAATAGGCCTGTCAGGGAGTAGAGTAGATGCTTCATAAATGGTTTGCATTTATTTATAGTCTGTTCCCTCCCCGTATTTCACATTAACTTGTAAGCCGAGAAATGGAAAATTCTGACATGCGATACTGAAATAACCCTACTTCTACAACACACAGTAAAAATGTATTCTTAACTATTCAAAGTAAACATATCTAGGAGTTTTAATGTTATAGTATACAAGCACAATAAAAAGATCAAAAAAAAGATTAGGGAAGTTCAGAAAATATCAGCACCTAGTATAATTTCTGCAACCAATAAGTATTTTATTGCTATTAATGTGTAACAGTTAATTTCAAGTATCTCACCATAAACACAGACCAGTTTCTAACCTATGTCATAAACATGACGCACAATAAAAAGTTACTGAACTAAGCTGGGCATGGTGGTGCATGCCTGTGATCCCAGGACTGATGGAGGCTGAGGAAGTAGGATGGCAAGTTTGAGCCCAGCCTGGGAACAATAGCAAGACCCTGTTTCACAATAAAAAATAAAAAGAGCTGGATCTAGCTCAGTGCGAAGGCTCAGGGCTCAGTCTGCAGTTCCAACCACCTCCAACAAAAAAGTTACAGAGCTATTAATTTATATCCTTCAAAGCAGTGGTCCTCAGAAACTATATTCACTTCCTTGAGAATAGTTTATTTCCTCTTTCACAGTACGATAATTTTAAAAAATGGATTAAAATAAAGTCATCTGTCAAAACACATCCAACTGTGATTGTTTTTAGCTTGGTGAGGAAAAAATGCAAAGGGCTTTTAGACTTGAGTTTAAGTTTTACAGTGGATATATTACATATAAAATGAGTGATCCATTTAAAGTAACATGTAAATAACCTACCAAATCCAGGAACACTTTTGAGACTGGCTTTGAGGCATATTTTCTCCAATCTGAGGTAGCTGTATCTCATCAGGCAATTCCATAGAAACATCCAATCCATTCTTGTCCGGTGGTTCATGATAATGACACTTCTTTCTCCAGGTACAAATGCATCACCTGTTATAATCACTTTTACACCAAACATGGTCTCCAACAATGCCTAAGAAAATAACAATACACATGCACAGCAATTTAAAGTTTTAAGTTTTATCATGTCCTATAAATACATACTATGATTTTTAATACAGTTTATAGAAGAATCATATTTCCCAAGATTCCTATTTCTATAAAGAATAAGGGAGGTTAGTCTAGAAAAATGAGAACAGAAGGTCTATGTTATTTTTCCATTTGACCAATTTAAGTTTCTGGCCATTTCCTAATAGAAAAATACTAGTCTTGAAATCTTCAAGATATATCTCTTAAATTGAAAAAATGCAAGAGATGTACATTAAGATTCTACTGTATCTTTTTTTTTTTTGATACTGGGGATTGAGCTCAGAACCTTGTGCTTGCAAGGCAGGCGGCGGCACCACTGAGCTAAATCCCTGGCCCACTATTGTATCATTTTAAAGGTATTTAGATATTTAAAATTATTACTCATTTTTTTTCTAGAAAAGACAGTCCAAAAGTATAAAACTGGATACAGGGCTAAGAAACAGAATCTCAATTTTCATTTTTATACTTTTCTGTACAATGATCTTTTGTTAACCAAAATCACATGTGTTCAATTTTAACAATAAAGAATAACTATATGTCTGATAAAATACTATAGTCCTGGCACCTACAAGGGTGCCTGGCACATAGTACAATGTACAAATGTTTGTGTAATTTGTTCAATTAACTTTTGTAATGGCCATGAATATAAATATATAAAATATTTAAAAGAAAAATATAGACTGGACTTTTTAAAAATAAAACAACAGATAAACTTGTTTACTGATTTCAATCACTCTTTTTATTTTTTAGATGAGATCATTCTATGTTGCCCATGCTAGTCTTGAATTCCAGACCTCAAGATATACCCTTCCACCTCAGCTTTTCAAGTAGCTGGGACCACAAGTACATCCCATACTTCCCATACTTTGCTCAATTTCTTATTTAAATTTCAAATTATTTACAAATAATAAATATACTGGTTATTATCTGACTTCACTTCTAATAAAGAGTTGGTCCAAGTCAGATAAAAAGAAAACAAAAGTTTCTTAGGCAATATCATGATTACTTTTCCAAATGACAACAAACAAACTGTGGTATAGTCATAAAGTGGAAAATAATGCAATAATTAAAATAAACTATAGCTACCTAGAGCAATATGCAAAACAAAAGTGGTCATATACAATAAATATCCATATATTAGACTTCCTAAAAGAGGAAGAAATCTTGGAGGCAAATATATAGATGGCAAAATTTTTTTAAAAACAAAGTAAATCTGTGTGCGTGTGTGTGTGTGTGAGACAGCGAGACAGACAGAGACAGAGAGACAGACAGACTGGGGATGAAACCCAGGGCCCCTGTACTGTTGCGCCCCCACTCCTTTCTTTTATTCTGAGACAAGGTTTCACTAAATCACTCAGGCTGGACTTAAACTTGGCAATCTTCCTTCCTCAGCCTCCCACAGTGCTGGGATTATAGATGTGTGCCACCATACCCAGAAACAACTTTCAAGTCATATTAGTCGCTACATCTGCCAAAAAGAAGAGCATTCTGACTGGTAGCTTACTGGAGGGCCAGCAATGTCTTACTTCTTGACCTGGTTGATAGTTATATGCAAAATTATTCACTAAGGTGTATTTATGTTTATTAACTTTTCAGGATGTTTGTCACATTACATAATAAAAAGGATTTTTTGTGATACAACAGACTAAGACTTCAAAACATTAGAATAAACAAGATCAAGAAAAGTCCTAGCACTTGGAAGGCTTAGGCAGGAGATTCATGGAGGTCAGCCTGGTCTATACAAAAACTTCAAGAGCTAGACTGGCTAGCTAGAGAGCACTACATCCTGTCTTTAGAAAATGAGTTAAAAATGTTTTGAAGCTAAAGACACATATTAGAAATGTAGAAAACCAAAAAAAAAAAAAAGCTGCTATGTAGAAATGTAGAAAGAAATTAGAAGTGTTGTATGTCCAAGTTGTTATACAGCCAGAGTGTTAATATCCTGACAGATAAAAGTAAGATCATTTGCGCTAATGTAGCTGCAAATAACTCAGAGGTGCCTGGTAAGTTACCTCCCAGGGCTGAGATTCACTATAGATCATGGATATTTATCCTGGCATCTCTCATGCACTAGAAGGACAACCTTAAACAGGACAATACACGTGCAATCCTCTTGAAATTATATACAAACATTTGTAAATACATACACAAGTGCTAAGTAGAATGCCTACCATTTTCTTCAGATTTTCAAATGGGTCCATAACTGCTCAAATAACTAAAAGGTCTACTCCAGAAAGTCTCTGGACATTTAAATCCCTATATGAAAGACTTCATGATGGTGAGGAAAACGGCAGAGCCTTCTAAGCTTGAACACACAGGAAGAAATCTCTTTTTCTACGTGCAAGTATAAAGAGCAGTCAGCTGACAAAACATCACTACATTGCATGTCTCACCCTGAAGGCTGCATGCGAAGTGACCAGGCAAGGTTAATCTGGATTAAATCTATTCTACTTTCCGAGTATGATATACTTTTCAGTTTTTGCAAAGAAGTGAAATGCAGAATGCCCTTCACTTAAGTGACAGAAAATTGTTAACTATTATGTGTTACACTAATTAAAAGAAGTCAAAGCCTATACAAACCAAAACTCAATTCTAACCCCAATGTACAATTTCTAACATATGATTCCTATGGTTCCCAAATAATATTTTGCTTTTCATTATGAAAAATGTCAAAATAAAACATATGACATTATTTGTCCAGGAGCACCTTACAGCATTCTCTTCCCTGACATCTAACATTCTTTAGAATATGACTGAAAGTTATATATAATCTTTTAGGCATCCTAGATCTCAAACTCATTTTTAATGCCAGACAAGACATATCTAGTCACCATTATTTCCAGCCTGCAAAGGCAGAATAACAAATATACACTACACAAATGCAAAGTTTTGGCTGGAGATTTAGCCTCGCAAGCACAAGGTCCTGGTACCAAAACAAAAAAACAAAAAAACACATACAAAGTTTAATGTCTTTGAAGAACTCTAGAACTCAATCCAGATTTTTTTTAAAAACTAGAAAAAGGCACTATGCTCAGATTTGTTCTATTTCTAGTGTAGAAGATAACTTCAAAAGAAATACTAATTTTCAGAAGTAAATAATGCCTCATTTTTTTACTGAATTAAGAGTGACAATTCTCATGAGTTTTACCTAACTGGTCAAAGATTTCTTGTATAATTACAAATACAGATGCAATTTCTATACATATATATCACGATTACTACCTCCAAATGTTCCACCTTGCTAAAAACACAAAGGTGCCACAATCCTCTCATAATCAAGAGAATCAGTTTTGTCCTCATGCTCCTCGTTCTCACTCATCATGCCAATGCATCTCTGGTCTGAGGTAACAACTCTACGACACTGCTCACATCCAAGTCAGCTTTGGCTTTTCAAGCTCAACTTAGGCCCGTTTCTCCAAATCCCTACCCATTTAAGGCTTTGCAATCCCAAGATGTTCTTCAGACCCAGAGTACCCACTTTCTTAAGAGTAACAGTGTGGGCAGAAATTATATCCAGTAATCTGTGTTAATTGAACATCTGTGTTACTCTAGGACTAGGATAGTATTGGCATATTATAAAGAGATTTTTACCCTGGGTAGAAAGTTAAACAATGAACTTTCAATTTTTTCTCATGCCAAGTGATTTTTACAATCCCAGGTAATTAGTTAACAGTGAAACTGTTGGTAAGACTCAGAATTTTGAGGAGCAAAACTGCTCTGGGCACATGCAGGATTTGACCCTGATCATATTAATTACATTGAACAGAACTATCTAATCATGAAATGAACAAAGCTAGGTGGATGAGACCTCTAAGTCTCATCTAATTCTAGGACTCTAAACAATTTATGTTTTTTGAATGTTATGCCTCACTTAACAATGAAAATGTACTCCTTAAAAATAGTAAGACAGGAAAAAATCTTGCCAACAAAATAATTTTAATGCACAAGAGCTTACAAAAGAGATCATTTTGATTGTATCTGTGAAGCAAAAATTATTTTAAGTCCATTTAGCCTCTTTTATCTTTAGTGAAAAATTATTTTCAATTGTTTGAGATTGCTTACAAAAAGAATAAATTATTGATTAAATTTCTTCTAAATAAAAAGTGCTTAAAAATAAAAACCTTTCACCGCCTGCTATGCAAGCGCAAAGACCCAAGTTCGATCCCCAGTACCAAAATAAATAAATAAATAATAAAAAAATAAAAACCTCTTTAGCATCTTACAAAAGTACGAAATACAAGGTGATAAGATACCCTTAACAGCTTTCTCCATTTTTTAACAGAGATAATTACTAATTTAAAAGTGGAACATCAATTTTTTGTACCCTAGCTATAGTAGATTAAGACCTCAATGAATTTAACAACTCTCTCCCTGACATGCTGTGACTGCTGAACTGAACAGTTGGGTGGTAGTTTTTCAAATGTATACCAATTTCATAGTATGGCAGTACAGCAACCTGACCAATACAAAAAATTTTCAAATCAGCTAATAGGATAAAAGTCACAAATAGCTGAAATTACCACTGAAAATCTCATAGGAATGTACCTCAAAAGAGCTCAGCACACTATAGTTAAGTCCAGCTCAGCCAGTTTTCCCAATGTTGGACCAGACTGCTCTTTGTCCAGCTGACCACCAAAGTGAAGTTTTGAAAGTTGTTTTAAAAAAGAACTATCTTTAACATCAGAATAACAGCAGGAAACTACTCCTACTTCCCATTCCATCTCCCACAAAGCAGAGAAAATTTCTTTTCTTCTTTGTTGACTCCTTCTTCCTCCAGCTCAGGGCATGTATAAATACACATATGATGCAATTCTGCTAAGATACCACTAAAGCTAGGTGGAGTAACTAACAGCAGTAGAAGCAGCTGTTGCACAGCCTATCCAGTAACCTTTCCAGTAAAATCCAGCACTTCTTCCAGAGTAAGAGTTTTAACTGTGTGCATGGCTACCTAGAAAAAAAGGAGCCAGGCTAGGTGGAATAACAGGATGGAAGGAATCTGAGTTCCTTGACAACAGCAGGGGGCAGAGCTACCCAGCCAACCTGGACCTGAGAATAAATGTAATTCTACTTTAATCAAGCCACTATATTTTTTATTTTCCTTGAAATAGCTATTTAGCCTATTACCTAAAACTAATATAATACTAAATATTTACCGTATACTTACCAGATACCAGGCATATGGTTAAAAACGCCATAAATTTACTAGCTCAGTCATCACAATAACTCTCTGAGGTAGACAGGCAGTATTAGTACATTCTTTTGTAGAGATGAAGAAGCAGCAGTTTATAAAGAAGCTAAGTAGCTTGGCCAAGTTCAAATGACCTGAAAGTAGTAAGCCAATGTAATAACTACAAGAAAATTCTCAATTTTGCAGAAAGATTCAGCCAAAATGTGATTCAAAATCAAAATATTATATATACTGTGGAAATTGATGATATTAAAAAAATGAAGTACGGTAGCAATATATGATTGTTACCCCCCAAAACTCATTTACCTCTAATTGTTTGCTTTATAATGAGAAATATGACCTTGAACATAGAATAGACCTCAGAGATCATTTGCTCCAATGTCTTATTTTACAGGTGATAAAACCCAAAACAACAACAACAAAAAGGTGTTATTCAAAATATTTTGAATACACTGAATACTCCCCCCTAACATGTGACACAAGGAGAGAGGGTAGGGAAGGGGGATGATGGGAGGAATAATTAAAGTATGTTACATGCACATAAAAATCTACCAAAATAAAACCCATTCATTTGTATAACCAATATGCACCAATAAAAAATGGGGAGGAGTAAATGACAGGAAGAATCAAATGTCTCCAACACAAAATGTCTCTGGTTTTATAATGACCATAAATAGCATTATTAATTGCACAGGCTGTAAATTACTTTATAGAAATATATTCTTGTGAAGGTTAATTTTATGTGAACTAAATAGCATGTTTATTTTACGTTATATAAATATGACATGAAAAATACCTTTTAAATCAGAGAATGATAATGGTCAAACAATATAAAATGAGTATTTTACATTAAACCATCTGTTTGAGGGCTGCAGTGAGACACTGGACTTTCTATCTTTAGATTAAAGCTAATTTTAAAATGTAACTAAAAATTCATGGCCTGAAAGTCAACTTCTATTATGAAAGAAGAAGTCTTTCAGTCAAGCAAAAGCCAGAAACTGGGTCAAGCTGTCACCTACAATTAAGGAACATATTTTAGGTAGAGGACTATTATCTTCACAAAGACAGATCCCACCTGTCCTGTTCATCATTGCATCCTAACAAAGTACTTGATACATGGTGGACATGTAATAAAAGTTGCCAGAAGAACATTTTGAGAACCTGCTGACTGCCTTTGCAATCCACAAAAGTTGAAAAGAAAAATCCTTCTATAAGGAGGATGAATTCTGCTTCCAGCCCTGACAGAGTAAAAGGTACTTATAACCTAGTGATTTAAAGGAGAATATGGTCATAGCAGAAAATATACCAAGGGTTGGCAATGAGGCCCAGTGTAGGAGTGCTTGCCTAGCACACACAAAGCCTTGGGTTTCATAGCCAGTACTAACCCCCTTCCCAAAACCAAAGTAAAAAACCTGAAAAATAAAAGTAAAATACAGCAGAAAAATCTGTTAAATGCAGCTAATACAATACTTAAAATATGTATATCTTAAACATTATTAGAAAAGAAGAAATATTTTAAATTAATGGCTTGTTTCTACTCTAGAAAGCTTCAAAAAGAAGGGCAAATTAACCCCAAGAAGGAAATAAGTCAATGAAATAATAACTGAAAAAAAAAATCAATAATGCTAAAGATGGTTCTTTGAAAAAGTCAAAAGAACTGACAAATTCCTAGTAAGATTGATTAAGAAAAAAAGAGAAGAAATTATCAATACCAGAAATACATAGGCTGTTATTACTACAGATCCTACAAAGAAAATGTAATGCCTAAAACTTAACACCTTGATGAAAATATAAAAATTTCTTGAAAAACATGCCTGGCCAAAGTTGACAAAATATGAAGTAAAGTCTGATTAGGTCAATATCTATTAAGGAAAATAAATTCATTATCAAAATTCTTCCCACAAAGCAAATTCCACTCAGTGTAACCAATAAATTCTGTAAGACAGAAGGAAAAAAATACCAATTTTATACAAATGCTTTCAAAGAACAGAGGTTAACACTGCACAGCTCACTTTATGCAGTCAACACAATTCTGATACCAAGGTTTGACCTTGAATCTTCTTTATCCACTTATTCAGCAAATATTTATTAATATATACTTTGTTCCAGGTAATCAAGCAAATGTCTTTGGCTTCTCTAGCAAGAAAAAGGCTTTCTATGACTACTTGCAAACTTTCCCAATGAAAGTCATCCCATTAGTGGCATTGGTTTTATGACTAGTTATCTAATTCCTCAAAGTTTCTATTTCCTTTTCTATAAAATGGGAATAATGGTAGCATCGGAAAGGAAGTCATCCTTAAACACTTAGCTATCTCCCACCTAACTAACTGATCAACAGCTATTATCATCATTACCCCTGGATTTTTATTTTATTTTTCCTTTTAATAGAATATCCTAATTCTCACATTTGAGTTAAATATGCAACCATACCATGGTTATTTGTTATTTACCAGTATACTTGCATCCATTTCTTTGTACCTGTGGAACAGACAAGTTTAAGTACAAGTTTAGAAAAGGGGGAAAGAAGAGAGGTGTTACGGCTTGTATCTAGATGCCCCCCAAAGCCTCATGCAGTCATAGGTGGGGCTTTTCAGAGGTGGCTGGATCTACAGTGTGCGATGCTGGGATTAAGGGTGTGTGATTACTAAATTATCCACTGATTGGTTTGGCGTAGTTCTGAGAGTGGATAATGGAAGGCCCTCCCTGGGAATGAATGGTACCCGCCACAAGGGCGAGCAGCCTGGACAGAATATAAGGGGGAGAAAGAGGGCTACTGTGATTGCTTGTCGCTTGCTGCCTTCAGCCTGCTTGCTCTGCAGTGCCTTCTGCCTGCCACCCTGCCTGAGAGCCAGCCAGCTATGACCTGAAATCTCTGCAAACTGTGAGGGGAAACATACCTTTCTGCCTTTAACTCTGGGTGTTGGGTATTTTTGTCTGAGCAACGAGAAGGTTAACTAAGACAAGAGGGAAGAGGGAGGAGGGAGAGAATCACTTTTAGTTGAGCAGTATTCACATTTCATACAACACATATATCTGAATAAAAATTTAAAAATATAAGTGACTTGTACCAGGGAATGAATGCAATTTATAAAATTATTCACCACAGGATTCATTTTTAAAATATGAAAAAAAGAGTGCATTGTGAGTGATTTATTAACATTCAATTTGCAGGAGACTTTTCAGAAAAATCTCCTTCACAAAGGTGGGAAACCCACACCAACCATTCTGGAAATAATCAGCCTCCATCTGAGGGGGCTACAGCACTACCTCCATGCTTTCATCACGACAACATCACAAGGAAAGGCAGTCTGCCTGCAGCCTGAGGGGAACAGGCAACTCACTTTAAAATAAACAGGTAAGGAAGATCCTTTCCCAAGTATTCCCTCTCTCGTTTTCTTTTTCAGGTACTATATTCATTGCCTCTCTTCCAGGACAGATCAATAAATCCAGTATAACATCAAGTCCCAGCTGTTGCTCAGGAAATATACCCTGACTATCCAAGGGAAAAACAACTGCACACAGCTCACTCAACTGGGCTGAGGCAGGGGTTGGTGACAGGCGAGCCCTACTGATGAGCGGCAGCAGGAAGGACTGAAGTCGCTCCCAAGGGAGGGTGGTAAGGAGGCTGCAATCTGACAGTCATCAGCTCAGGCGTAGAGGGGTGCGCATGACTTTGCAGAGAGTGCCCATGTGTTGCAAGCCTCTAAAACACACTTAATTTGCACTTTGACCTTACAGATGTTAACCTAGTATAACAGACAGGAAATCACATTTCCATACTGGGAAGAATTGAATCAATCACATCAATGTTGAAAGTTTAACAAAAAAAAAGTTTGCTATATGAATCTTATGTTTTCATCTTGTAAAAAAACAAAATGAAAATGCAAAATAAATTATGTAAAAATTAATCATGGAAAAATTCTTCAATCTAGACCTCTAAGATTTGGGTCCTTTACCCTATGTAATGTATGCCTCAATGATGGAAAAAAAGAAAACCATGAATATGGAAAAAAGCTCCTAATTTTCAATATTATTTTAAGAGTATGAAATATTTTTATTACTCTCTAGTTTTTATGTTTTCCCCTTTACAGTGTAACATGCTCCCTTATATAATATGACAAACTTATGTTTCTTCTACAACCAAATCTGACTCTAACAAAACCAAACCAATACGTTAAACTGCTCTAGTACAGGCAGACAGCCTTCTCCTCCAGTGTGTAACTTACCGCGGGTAGTGTAAGCCATGTGGCAACAAGGCGGTTGTTGATCCAGCGATACCAAGATGAGTTTACAAACATCAAAGGTAAGAAGGGACCCAGCATGAAAACGCTGCCAAAAAAGCTTCCACAAAAAAGAATGAGTATAAAGTAAATTCCTTTCCATGACACCATGATTCTGAAAGAGATAACAAAAGGATATATTGTTATTATCCATTAATTGCTCAAATTCCATATTAGCATGAGGCATATACAGTAATAATCCTTTTTTTTCTTTTTTTTTTTTTTTTTTTTTTAGAGACTGAGTCTCACTATATAGTTCAGGCTGGGCTTGAACTCTGTGTGATCCTCCTGTCTCAGCCGCCCCAATGTTGGGATTACAGGCAGGTACCACCACACCCAGTTATAATAATCTTTTTTTCCCATTAAGTTTATTGGTACATTTTAGGTATACAATAGTTACATTCATTATTGGGATCTTGTACCTTTACATGATATGTCTTGGTTCTTATTTTTATCTCCTTCCCCTGCCCTCCCTTCACCCCCTCCACCCTTCCCTATTTACAAAGACTTTGTTTCCATTTTTTCCTTTTCTCCTATTTTTTCCTTTCCCTTCTTTCCTTTCCCCTACCCCTCCCACTTCCCCTACTCCTTCAGACCTTTTCTTCCTATTTCACATTATCAATTATACATTTTCAACCTTTTTTACACTTTCAGTTTTTCACACCAGAGCAGTTATAATAATCTTTAATAAGAGGGTTACAGAAAAAGTTCTGATAAAAATCCAAGAGCCTAAATTTCATGGCAGTACCCCTCCAATGTGTTCTATAGGTCTAACAAGTTTCCACTACATTAGAAATTTATATTCTCAGCAGAATAAATGTCTCATCTCCCAGGGACGAGAGGGAGGCTGTCTAGTTTCAGAAAACTTTTTTTAATCATTATTAGTATTTATCATGAAATAATGTGTCTTCTTTCGCAGGATGTTACCTAACATAAAATCTTAAATGCCCACAGTTGTTTTCTACCCAGGAGCAGAAATAATGGACAAAGAATTGCCCAACAGCTTCCTTGGGGTGAGGACACCTAAAAACAATGGGAGTTCAACAGAGTGCACTAAAATAAAAATAAATTTTTCTTCAACCTATCAATGTTTATTCTTTACATTACACTCTAAAAATAACTGAGCACCTACCACAAACTAGCTCTTTATCAGCTGATGGGATAAGTGGAAGTCGGACTCTTCACTGTCTTTCCTAAGGTATTTACCAATAATTACATTCGGGAGTCCTCAAAAGCAGAACATAACGTGGATATTGTTAAATAAATGGTAACAGTTTAAAATGAAAAATCAAACATCTGATTTTATAATCTAGACTACATTAGAGCAAAACTATATTCTGCTTCAGGATAATAAAATTGTTGGAAACACTGGAACTATGAAAACAATAACAGCCTTAAAATTTATATATTAAAAAAGGTATTCCAGAGATCAAGACTCCTACAATTTTTAAAAAGAGTCACAACAAAGAACAAATAAAATTTCAAATGTCATGGTAGTTTTTAAAAATGTCAAACGACAAAACAGGTCAATCCCTTACCAACACAGAATCGTGTTTATCTGGGTACTAAGTATATTTTTTTAAAAAACTCTTATTAATACTTGACTGCACATACAAAATCCTTCAAAGCACAAACAGAACAGATATCTACTAAGAACTGGATTTTTGCAACCTTAAGGACTGAGCAGCATAGATGGTGAAAAAGACCCTCGGGAAGCAGCAGGCCAAAGGCTCTAGCCCTCAGTAGGCTCTGTGAGGCCTGAGTTCCCGCACATCCTCTGCCTCCCTTTCTCTGAGGCTAAAGACACCTAAGGCAGCTTCTCTGTTGGTAATTTCAATATTCTTGACCCCTACTTTCTTTTCCTCCCTCCCCTCAAAAAAGAAAAAGCTCCTGCAACGCTCCTACTCTACTCGAAAAGCTTCTCTATTGCTGTTTTCCCTGTCAGTTCACCATCACGGCACACCGCTTCCCCCAGCGCAGGCTCTCCTGTGCCTCTCCTCCACTCCCTGAGTTCCCATAGCTATCATCTGATGGAATCTTTTGCCCTGAACAGAGAGAAACAGGCCCACGGAGAGTTAAGATGGACACGGACAGTCGACAGCATCGGATCTTTTCTGCCTAGGGTTTCTTCCTCTGTATCACGCTGCCTCCCTCACACTAAACAGCCAAGACTCAGGATGCCAACTTAACCTTCAAACGTGTACTCAAGTGAAGGCTTAAGTAGGTACAAAGGGTTTTGTCACACAAACACACAGATTATCCAGACCAAATCCAAGCTAAAATTACTTTTCCATTCTATGATTTCTTTCCCAATCTTTTAACCATTTATTCGCTTTTGAGGATTCAATAAACACAGAGAGATCCCTTCTGTGTGGCAAACACGTGCTGGGCACCTGGGGACGGGACAGTGAGTGTGACAGACACTGCCAAAGCTCTTACACATCTCACAAACGGTTTCTCTCTCATGAGTTCCTCCCTGGCTTTGAATTTAATCTAGCCTTTTCCTGTATCTTCTTTCAAGTTTTAAGGGATTGACAGGGTACTTATTTGGCACAGCTAAAATTAAAATCACGAATATACAAACAATTGACACTGTCAAGTGCTGACAATGAGTAGCCTGAACTCACGCACACTGCTGGTGAGGACGCAAACTGGAATGGCAACTCTGGAAAATCGGGCAGTTTCTTAAAATGTTTAATCTATACTTACCACATAACCCAGACATTCCACAACTGAATATTTGGGACAAATGAAAATTAAGGTTGACACAAAGTGCTCTACATAATTATCCATAGCAACATTATTCCCAAGTGCCAAGACTGGAAATAACCCAACTGTTAGTCAGAGGTGGGCAGAAACTACAAGAAATCTGTAAAACAGAATATTACTGAGCAGTAAAGGCAAAATTACCAAGGCATGCAGCATCTTGAGTTAATCTCACCAGCACTGTACTGAGTGAAAGAAGCTGGGCCCAAGAAAAACTTTTTAAAAACTGGACATTATTTTATATGATATTCTGGGTCACACAAACCTACAGGAGAGGGAAACAGAGCAGCAGTTGGCAAAGGTCAAGGGTGGGGAGAAAGTCTGACTGCACAGGGAGGTTTTGGGGCGGAGGAAGCTGTTCTGTCTCGTGGTTGCAATGGTGGTAACAAGACTGGGTACTGGGGGAAAACTCACACAAACTACTGTTTTCGGTGCCAAGGCTTCATGCATGCTGATCTACATTCCCAAGACCATACAATGCTGTTTGTAGATTAAAAATTAAATTTAAAAATTATGCTATGTGACTTGGGAGGCTGAGGCAGGAGGATTGCAAGTTTGAGGCCAGCCTAGGCAACTTGCCAACTCGATCAAGACACTGTCAGTCAATGAGTCAACCAATCAACATGGTGGGAATATAGCTCAGTGGTAAGGTGTCCCTGGGTCCAATGCCCAGTACCAAAAATAAACCAACTTATGCTGCGTGAGATAAAATTGGAGAAAATATTCATTATGATCTGTAACTAGGGGAATTCTGTACTTCTGTATTATTTCAATTAAAATAACCTAAAATTTATGTAGCTTTAAAAATATTCCAGGCACTTATCTGACATCCACAGACTTGTTTAATAGTAACAACAATCCCATGCTGTAGGTATTCATTGCCCCTATCTATCTATCTATCTATCTATCTATATATATATATGGATACTGAGGCAACAAGAGGTTAATTTGCTCAAGGTTACACAAGTAGTAAAGCACAACTAGTAAAGCTCAAGTTTACACAACTAGTAAAGGTGGGACTGACTCCAAGTAATATGTTGTTAGAGTCCGCACTCAGTCAACTACACTATGCTTTTTTTTTTAATTCTGAGATATCCTTAATAGAACATCAAAGTCCTCCTTTAAAAAAAGCCTTAATTTATTAGAAATATAAATTCTAAAGAAGGCATTATTGTCTCAGTGCAACACTAAAGAATGAAATCTTTCATTGTAGCCAAGAGTGCTATCATCACTTGAGAAAAGTATCTGTCATAAAAAATCACAGTTCAGAGGGCTGATAGTAAGCAATGATATAGAATAAAAAAAGTTCCCCCAAAATGGTAGTAAAAGTTACTTCGAAGGATGATACTCTTTGACAGTGTTTCATAACAACAAAATGGGCCTTTCCTTTGCAAATCTACAGAACAAAAAACACAATGGTCACAAAGTAGCAGAATTTCAAATAATTTTGCTGCTAGGTATCTACTATAGTAAGTGACTACAACATTAAACAATTCTTTATTTTTTTTTTGGTACCGGAGATCGAACTCGGGACCTTACATTTTCAAGGCAGGCGCCGGAACCACTGAGCTAAATCCCCGGCCTTAAACAATACTTTATTTCTTGAGGTAGTATTCCAACATCTTTTGAATGAGATCTGACTATGAAGATTTGGTAATATAAGTGATACTTAAAAGCTAGTTTTCACATTACTTTGTTTCAGAAGTTAAAAAAAAATAGTGCTTAACAACATCCTTTTTTTAGCACATTACAATTTTTCAAAACAGTCTACTTCATCCTCAAATTTCAGCCATCATCTATAATTTCTTTTCACTATTGCCTTCCACCCTTACTCCAACAAATATAACTCCAATGTTTCAAGTAAGAGATCAACAAATCACTGAATGCTTCGTAACCTATTTTCAACAAATTTCTTAAAAGTTTGCGGCAATAGTTGGTAAGAGATGACAAAGTAATACAAGAAATATTCTAGGTGATTAATATTTTGGATTCTATGAAAATACTTCAGAAAACTTTTTAAAAAGTTAATAAATCAAACCTTGAATTTGTTATTTAGGATTTTTAAAGCTTTAACCAAATCTGAAGTACCACAGAAACTGACCTCACAGACTAGGATTAGCAGTTTCTTCTACAGATATGGTTGATTTATTAGAATATCATTAATAGAGATTGGCAGTGAAGCTCTTATTGAAAGGGATCAAGAAATCAGCCCTGAAGCCCTCTTCCCCAAGCCTTTACCATTCAAAGACACGTGCAGACAGATAATAATGCAAATCAGCAATAAAACTTACCAGAGAGATTATTCTAATGTTGAATTCAAAGATCTCTGGGGCAATGCAGCATGCCTCTGTAGGTTACTGGAAAAGGAAAAAAGCATCTTTAGCCTAAATTGCAATCAATATTTATTTTAAGAAACCTTACTTAGCCTATCCCATGGAACTCATCCAAAAGGAATATTCATGTATTAGTTAATATTTCTCTTTCACCCATCTGTATGTTAATCTTTAAAATTTATCCATTTTTAAAAACTTATTTTCATGATCAATGAGTTATTCTTAAATGATGAAATGGGTTTTCCTTGTAATGAAGTGCCAATGTATAACTGCACTTGCAGGAAGTATAGATTTCACTTATAAATGTTTAACCATTTTAATTAAATCATAGAGTGGTATTATATATAAATATAGAACATTATTAAATTTGGTAATGTGGGACCAGGGATTTAGCTCAGTGGTAGCGCCACCTGCCTTGGAAGCACAAGGTACTGAGTTTGATCCCCGGTACCAACAAAAAAATTTGGTAATGTGTGGTACACTGTACATTTGGTAATATGTGGTAGATATCAAGATAACAATTTAAGTTTATTGTGTGATTCATACTGCTAACTTAAAATGGCAGTCAACAAAACACTATTCTTCTTTTTAAAAGAAGATACAATTTTGTAATTTATACTTTAAAAGTATAATACTATATAGGTGTTACAATTCTAAAGCAAAATTTTAATACCTTGTACAAAAATTATTCTGAATTTTAGAAGTTCACAGGAATTTATTGAATGTTATGGTTTAGACCTAAAATATCCCCTCCAAATGCCGTGTATGGTGGTACACTTGTCATCCCACCACTGAGCAGGAGGATCACCATGAGTTCGAGGCCACCATGGACTACATAGTGAGACTGTCTCAAAAGAGAGAGAGAGAGAGAGAGAAAGAGAGAGAGAGAGAGAGAGAGCGCCTTCAATCTCCTGTTCAGAGATTGGAAGGTGACTGGATCACTGAGGTGCTGTGCTCATCAGTGGATTTATCCAGCAATGAGCTCAGGAGCTGAATGTGCTGTGGAGGCAGAGCCTGGTCAGAAGGCCTGCATGGGCCCCTGGGCACTTGACCTGGAAGGGTGCGCTCTTGTCCCTGGCTCTCCCCTCTCTCTGCTTCTGTGCTGCAAGGTGATCAGCTGTCCTCCACCACACCCTTCTACCATCAGTTTCCTGCCTCAGAGCCAGCGGACCACCACACACTAAATCCTCTAAAACCCTGAGGCAAAATACACCTCTCCCTCTTTCAGTTGCAAGGATCAGGTATAGAATTTGGCCCCAGTGACAGAAAAGTGACAAACAATGGGGAAGCTCACTGTCTTCCTGTAACCCCTAACACAACATATAGCACACAGAAACAGGGACAGGGAGTAGAAACGGGGGTTATCAACTTCCACGAGAGGAAAGTCCAGTTACTTACCTAGTAAATTAAACATATAATCTTTTACAATCCTTTAAAATAAAAAGGACATACCATTGAAAAGTAATTGAACACCTCCATTTAACATTATTTTTGTACATTCTTTGTATAATTTGGTATGTTATTTCTTTAAAAAGCTATCAGAAAAAAAAAGTTTTAAAAATGGCATATCTATTTTACAGCCAAATACAGACACAGAAGCAAACTGCAGATTATCTTGAAAAGCTATGGCTACTTCAAGTGTAATTCAACAACTTTTTCTGAAAAAAAAAACAAAAACAAAAACTTTTCCTTCAGAAACTTAATACACTCTCCACTCACTCCACTAACTTCCTAGTTCAGCCTGTGAGTCTAATTCTGACGCTTGCCCATGGTATCAAAGTATCTCTGGCTTAAATGGCCGCAATACCAAACAACAGCCAAAACAGTATAGAAGCCAAGACAGGGCCTAGCTAGGCTTCCTATTCAGTTGCACACATCATTCTTGGAGGATGACAATGTGGGAGGATATTCCTCACAAGGGTTGATGACATTAGGGAAACCTACATGTTCTTCCACAAGAAGGAACCAGATTTTACTTCATAGACTCTCATTATATTCCTCACATGTCAAGTGTTAACAACTAGCATTACCCTCACAGGAAGCTAAGTGCACAAGCAAAAGCAATGCACAGTGACATATACACAGCAACAGGGGTATGTGAGGTGTGCAAATGGTGTTAGGGTCAAGGGAGGACGTACTCCACGAAGGAGGATTAAAGACACTGGCCTTTTGGAGGACAAGTGGTTGGCAGGGCAGAAAAACTATTTGAGGTAGTAAAACAAAATATGCAGAATCACAGAAATTTGAAACATCAAGTGATTAGTTAGGGAACTACTCATTAAATATTACTGAGATATAGAGGTACAGGGTACGAACCAGTGGCCTGCAAGAAACTACAAGGGAGAAAGTTCCACATACCCAGGTCAGAAGGGCCATGAATACCACCTTTAGTCTGTCACCAGGTAGGGCTGGGCAAAAAACTAAAGCATATGACTCATGTTTTAGGGTAAATGTAGACATGATATGGACTGGATCAGTGTATAGACTGGTTTTGTTAAGGGCCTTCTCTGGACTTTAGAACAGACAGTGCATGGGACTTGCTGGCAAAACTCCCAAGAGTCAAAGATACTGATATCAGAAGTCTTTAAGCCAGGACAGACACAGACCTCAACGGCAGCTCAAGAGCTCAATGGTGAGATGCTTGTGACCGCATTCCTTAGCTTGATCCTTCATCTGTATAGTGAAGAGGCTGGGGGGAATATCTCTCTGAAGCTTCTGCTAACACAGAAATGCTGGATACCAGTAACTCTTTGAGCACCTAATATTTGCCAGGCACTTTACAGAGGGCTCTTGGTACTTACATATTTAATCCCTACAGATTCAACCATTTATAAACACCCCAGAGGCCCATGACATGGAGGTAATCTGCAATTCTGCTGAAGTTCAGCAAGGCTGATATCAAAAAAGAGAAATCATTTTAGTAATTAATAACTGTGCAGTATCCTAATTCCCAAAGGGCCTTTATTGTACTTAACTTCATATGTGCTTCCTGGGGAAGTGATAGGCTCTAGTGGGTTTATAAATATGCAGTTTCAAAAGGACCTTCCCATATCTCTTGATAATGTCAAGTGTATCCTGAAATAGGCACTCTACATTCTCCTCTAATCCAAACAAAAGCCTCAAGTATAGGTATTGATTATGTTAGTGGCGTTTACAGGTGAGGAAGTGAGAGATCTGGTTCTCTTAATTACAAGTCCCCCACACTGTTTATATGGAAATAGGTGAGAGAAAGGACCGAGAGCCAGGGGCATGCCCAGGAAATAAAGTGGAAAGAGGACAGAACTAGGGACAACAGAAGACTGAAAGGCAAAAAAGTAAATAATGAGTAAAGAAAATATATAAGAATACTTTTAAGTAATTGCAAATTCATTTATTCATAAGATGAGAGGTCAATAAAGTACCTATGGGCCAGGGATTTACCTCAGTGGTGCTGCCGCCTGCCTCACAAGTGCAAGGCCCTGAGTTTGATCCCCGGTACCAAAAAAAAAACAAACAAAAAATAAATAAAAAAATAAAGTACCTACAAAACCAGACAATCTCTTTATGCTGAAGTTCCATTTCTTGCATTCTGCTCTACTAAATATGAAGCTCTGGAAACTCCCCATGCTTTTCAAGAAAGAAAAATGAAAAACAACTTATATATTTAGATATACATATATAAACATTCTTGTGTATTTAATAAACAAATTTTCCCTAGATTTTCTAATGAAAAACTGTTATTCTTTGTAAGATAGGCTCACTAGTAATCAGTGAAATAAAAATTAAGATGAAAACACCATTTTCCTATTATTTTATTAGAAAAATAAAAATATGATATTCCACATGAAAGTACTTCTCTGTTCTGCTACTAAGATTATACATTAGTACCACCTTTTAGGTAAATGATAAGAAAGTATCTGTCAGGTTGAAGTGATGGAGCATGCCTGTAATCAGAGCACTCTAGGAGGTGCACGCAGGAGGATCCCAAGTTCAAGCCCAGCCTAGGCAACTGAGCAAAACCCTGTCTCAAAATAAGAAAACCTAAGACAAAAACAGTGCTGCGGGGGGATAGCTCAGAGAAAAGGCTCTGAGTTCCATCCCAGGTACCACAAAAGAAAAGATAAAAAAAGAAAAAGGAAAAGGAAAAAGAAAAGAACTTGTCAAAATGGAAAAGTGCATATTTAATTAACAACTATATTTCAAAATCTCTACCATGCAGAAATATTCACAGAAATGCACAAAGATATGGGAACAAGGCTGTCCATTGAAGTATAATTTGTAATACTGGACAACAGGAGATAATAAAGCCTCCCTCCCAATAAGGGCAGGACAGACCATTTATATTATGGTCTACTAAGCTACTCAAAAGAATAAAGTAACTCACACTGATAGGAAAGGATATCGGTAATGTTATTCAGTAAGTAAACTGCAAAGAATTATGTATATTATGATCTTTTGTTTGCCTGTATAAGTCAAATTCTAAAAAATGTATACATATGTTTTTATGTAAATAAATATATTTCTAGTTAAATAAAAAAAACTGACTTCAATAAGAAAGCATGATAAACCCAAGATTACTCTACAAAGAGGCTGCCTAGAAATAGGTATCTGCTCCTTAAGCTTCTTCCATTCTTTTATCTGCCTTAGGGGATCCTCCTTGACCAAACCTAAGTGGAAATCAGAGATCAGTGCTGTCCCACAGGTCAGAAATCTGGGATGGACAACAAGAGCAGATCTGGAGGGCAAAGAGAAGACACCTAGAACAACAGAGAGTTAACCTATCGAGGCAGTTACAAAAATTAGAATATGATTACCATTTTTATGTACATTATAAAGTTGTACACCTGCATTGTAATACATTATAGTTGATTTTTACATGGTTTTGCTTATATGTATATATATTTTTATATAGCTTTGCTTATATGTATATTTGCTTATATGTTAATTTTGATAAAAATGGATGTTTCATAAAAGAATTCCAACAATTCGAAACAGTTAAAAAAAAATCTGTAGAGGTTCTACATATAGATCAAATACCTAACTAG